CCCCCTCCGCCACCCCCCATGGCCTCAAGGGTTCTCAGAAGGCAGGTCAATCCTCTTCACACACACACACGCATGAAAGCAGCACCTGCTAGGAAAGAGCTGTGATGTTTGTGACAGGAACGAGTGGGGTGGGCGGAGCGCTTTTGTGAATGAACTACGTCGTGTGGGGAGGGATACTTAGGGTATGAATGATGGGATGGGGGGGGGAGTCCCAAGGTGCATGGGGCAGACAGAGAGAGAGGGATGAGAAATGGCACCCTCCCAAATTAGTTCAGAGATATACTGCATCTGGAAATGAAGGTGACTTGGAAATTACCTTTCAAAACAAGAACACTCTACGATAAAAGAATTGGTCTGAAAAAAGGCCATTTCCATAGTTTTTGGGGCTCAGGTAGTTTTTTAAGTGGCTTGACTTAAAGGATATCTGATTCTTATATGTCTAAGCAGGGGTCATTTCCTGTGGGAGCACACAGGAGCAGAGTTCCAGCAGTAAGGAGCCCAGGGGGCGGGCACATGCAGCAAGCCCCGCCCCCTGCTCCCAGCAGCCCTCAGTCAGACCACAAGGAGCAAGAAGTAACCAGGTACGTTGCAGAGGCCCCCCCCCCACCTTCAGGTACAAGCACTCCCTCCTCTGTGAGGGCAGATCTGCACGTTCCCCCCCCCCAATAGCTAGCAATCCAAAACAGTCCAGTGGAGCCTGAGCAGTGGGTGTTGCCTTCTGACACACTTCTGGTGATGTCAGGGGGTGTGGCACATGCAAACAAGTTATGCTAACGAGTTATGCTAATGAGCTCCTGCACCTCTTTTTCTACGAAATGACCCCTGCTTAGTCTAAGCATTACATTTGTATCCTGCCCTTCCTCCAGGTTCAGTTCGGCATACTCAGTCCTCCTACTCCTCCATCCTGTCCTCCTAACCACCCTGTGAGGTCAGCTGGGTGAAGAGAGGGAGAGTTCCTGGCTCCAGGCTGCCCAGGGAGCTTCACGGGCAAGGCGGGATGTGGACCCAGGTCTCCCCAGCTCTAGCCAGACACTAATCGGGGTGCAGGATGGGGCTCATACTGGAACGATGAGTATTTCATCAACATCCACAGTGCTCAGAAACAGGCTACGGGTCTTTTACTCTTCTAGAAGACTAAATCATACATCTTGCTAAATAAGGTTCAAATGGAGGTACAGAAATATGAAATATTACCTGTGACAAAGTTTAAAGGCAATCTTCTAGGTGAAACTGCTCTTGGGTGCCGCTTGCTTATTTCTTCATACACTTGTAGCCTGTCTTCTAAAGTACCTATTGGTGAATAATAAGTTTAAAAACTGGGATCTGTGTGTACAGAGGATCTTTTATTATTAAGGAAAATAATGCTGATGACAGCCCACAAGCCAGACTCAGCAGAGCTGGTTTTTATCTGTCTATTTATTTATTTATTCAGATTTTTATCCTGCCCTCCTGGCCGAAGCCGGCTCAGGGCGGCTTACATAAAAACAGATACATTAAAAACATAAGCTGCAATTAAAACAAATTATAAAATCATAATAATGTGCTAGCAGTTGTTGGTGTTTGTATGACGGTAGCAGCCAGTAACCAGTGTACAAAGTTCTCAGCTCGCAGTCCACTCTCAGTGTTCGTTTGGAATGTCGTTGCAGGGCTTGCTGTTCTTTAGGCTGTCGGTGGCAATTTCCAGAGTCCAGGGCCCTCTCCCTTTCAACCAACCCATGTTCTTCATTGGTGGTGGCTTTTCCTCATCTGCTCTGGCTCCCCCCCCCACTCCAGTTTGTCTCTGCCTGCTTGCTTCACACACCCCCATCCCTCCGCCCACTTCCTCCTTCCCCCTCCCCTCTCCTTCGCAGGCTTCAGCTCAAATCACCACTTTCTCCTGCAACCTCTGCACTGTCTCGTGGCTGCTACATTTTCACATGTTGATTTTGGTCACTATACAATTGCTACACGGTTGCTTGCTACACAACCCAAAACCCCACCCAAACTCTCAGCGTTTCTTTGGTTTGTTTTTAATGTCCAGGCATACCACAACATGGCTGTCAACTACGAGGGAGGGAAGGCAGCACAGGACAGCCCTATCTTGGCAGGACTCGGAAGCTAAGCAGGATCGGTGCGCGGATGGGAGCCCTCCTACGAGGAGGACTCTGCAAAGGAAGGCCACGGCAAACCATCTCCTTTCTCACTTGTTGCCTTGGAAGCCCCCCGGCTGGCCATACGTCGGCTGCAACGTGACAGCACTTACCTACCTATCAACTATGGAGATTTTTACACAGCAAAAAAAACGTTTTTGAAAAATGGGAAGGTGAGAACCCAAGTAAAAAAAATTAAGACAAAAATTAGGAATGTGAGAGGAAAACTGAGCAGGAGGAATAGGCTACAAATGTGGGGGAATGAAAACCTCGAGTGTCAGGAAATTACTCCCTGGTATAAAGGGAAGCCGAAAGGCCCATGGACAGGAGGAAAGGTCAGCTGATTTCCCTTGTATGAGTGCATAAGAAATGGGAAGAGATTCCTGGTGGCTCCCTTGCTGTGTCTCTCCCCCCCCCCTTTCCTACCAAGGGGACGGAGTGAGGGGAAGCCAGAGGGATCATAAGAAGAACACAAGAGAAGCCATGCACTGTGGCCAAAACCAGGGGCCATCAGCAGGGCCAGAACTCCAGAAGCCCTCCTCCCACTCTGGCCCCCCAAGCACCAAGAACAGAGAGCATCACCGCCCCAGACGGAGTGTGTCTCTCCCATCACCCCCCACCACCCCAGCCTCTCTTCCATTCTTCCTCCTTCCCACCTGCTGCTGTGGGGCTTCTCCTGCTGCCGTTTTTCCCCCCGCCCTCCCCGCCAGCCACAGGCAAACAGCTCTTCCCTGCCCTCCCTCCCTGGCTGAGCCAGCAGCCCTCCTTGCTCTTCTGTAAATGCATGCGGCCCTGCCTGGCCCTGCCTCGCCTCCAAGCTGCCAAAACAGACTTGGCCACCAACTAGCTGGCGAGCAGCTCTCTGGAATGCCCACTATGGAGTGGCTTTAACTCGCCACCACTTCCCAGCACTCTGTACTCCACCGAGTCCAACGAAAGACCAAGGCAACGCGGGGGGTTATGCAGAGACCAACTTCTAAGTGAACATAATCATGCGTGAGACTGCACAAAGGGTTACTGCTGACGTGGTGTGAAAGCAAAGCCTCACAATGTCCACACATTTGGAAGCTTGTGTGACTCTGTAAGTGGCTTAAACATTTCCCTAAAATGGAATATTGAGCATTCAAGATCACTGAGCACCTTGTCTATGGGATCATTAACATTACTGATGAGACCCAGGCACTCATAGGCATGCAAAGCTGGGCCAGGATTTGGCCACTGGTAAGCGCTGAGCTAAGCCTCAGGACTGGGCTTAAATCATAGCATCATAGAGTTGGAAGGGTCCCTAGAGACCATCTAGTCAACCCCCTGCCCAATGCAGGACCAGCCTAAAGCACCTCTGACAAATATTCTTCCAGCCTCTTCTCGAAATCCCCTTCCCTCTGGTGCTAGAAGGCTGTCGGGGAGGAGAACCAGGACAAAGAGCTGGGCCAAGGAAGACAGCCAGGACAGCTTGCCACCCCCCCCCCCCCCGGGTTGCTCGTGCCTGGTTAGCAGACGGGTGACACACCCAAAGGTGGATTCAGGCCAGTCGAAGAGGCCCAGGGCAGCCTCCCGCTTGGCACCAACATGCTGTAAGATGCTGAGATTGTATTTGTAATACAGGGAGTATTAAAAAATTTCAATTAGATTTGTACAACGTTTCATATTTTTAAACTGAATGAAAATATTTAAAAAGACAGGATTTTTGCCAGCTATTTGTTCCCTTCCACAGGGAAACACGGAACTCCTAATGTTAAACATTTAACTTAAAGTGCGACATTATTATTTGTGACTCAGCGGCCCTTAGTTAGTCCATTGCTGCCTTTTCCTTCAGTCAGAAAGTTCATGAACATGCAGACCTTTCATTCAGTCTAGCTGCAAAGGGGAGCCGGGCTGGTTTTGCAGCAGAAAAGCCAGACTCGAGTGCAGGAGCATCTGAGAGACCAACAAGACTCCCGGGGGGCGGGGGGGGCGGAGTTTTTGAGAGTCGGAGCTTCCTTCACCAGTTATGGTATCCGACAAAGGGAACTTTGACTCTTGAACGCTCAGAGCCCCCCCAAAAATCTTGTTCATTTCTGAACGCAGTTCGTTCAGTCCAAAAACCTGTCCTAAGAAGCAGAACACAGAACCTAATGAATTTCTAAAATTTACAGCTGCTATATTTCATGTACAAAGATGTCGCTGGATGAACACTGGTTTCTGCTACGTGCAAAAAAGCCTGGAATGAGTCTGCAGTGCCCCCCCCCCCCCGGCCGATGCAGCAACTGGAAGTGGGGGGAGGGAGTTGGAGCACCCGGGAGAGGGAAGGGGGCACACAAAGCTGAGACTTGCTCTGGCAGCACCAAGGCCTCCAAATCCTTCCTGCAATGGACAGCGACATTTTCGACCCCGAGATCTGAAACCCCAAGGTCAAAACTTACCCAACTAACAACCACGTTTCAAAAAGTTTACCCGAGGACTGCTTACGTGGCTGGAGGGCTCTTTCCAGGCCTTCGTAGTAATGCCAGTTTTCTGCGTTCCGATCAATCAGCTCTCTGTATACTTCGGAAGCTTCCTTTAGTCTTCCCAACTTCAACAGCATTTCTCCTAAAGCCACAATGAAACCAGAATTTAGTCAGAACCTGGTTTTGGAAGCTTGCCATCTTGGACTCTGGGAGTCTAAAGGGCCAGTTCTTATATTGCACCAGAAATACTTCTGTGGTGGCAGCGACACTATGCGAGAATCGCTTCCCAGGGAGCCCACGCCCCCTTTGCCACCGACGGGCTTAAGCAGTGCTGATGCTAAGACTTCCCACATCGCCAAGGTGATCCGAGTGATCACAACTCTCACAGTTTTCTCCCTGCCCCATGGTGGCACCGTGACAAAAGCATTTCCAGAAGTTTCTATGTGGCTCACACGATAATTGCTTTTTTATTCCCCAGAAGGTCTGTCCAGCTCAGGGGTCCCCGACGTGGTGCCTGCCAAGGGGGCAGGGCCAGGTGGGGCTTTTGACCAGCAGGGCTTCTGACTGGCCACTGCAGATCTGATTGGCTGTGCAGATTTCTAAGAGTGTTGCTTTGGGAGCAGGTGCCACCACAGCACAAAGACCTTAACAGTGTGACTGAAGGTAAGCTGCTCCAGCCCTTGTTGTGGCTGGCTCTGCCTACTATGGCAGCCATTTTGTGTCTGGCTGTGCCCACCACACTGTTTCAGAAGTCCAAATGTGCCTGCAGGCTCCAAAAGGCTCTAGCTAACATGCACTGTTTTCAGACAATTCCCATAGAATCATCTGCTTAGTTTCTGAGGGCTCAGATCCACGCTGTCCCAACTAGGGGCTAATTAGTCTGCTCCGCCCCTTGCCCCCCCCCAGACAAATGCACTGAAATTCAGAACCCTCTAGATGATGAATCCACAATCCAGGCCTGGCTGACCTTGCCAGTGGCATGTGGGCACCCCCTCCCCCCCACAGGTCCCCCCAACAGTGCTAAAACATGCGAGATAATAATAAGCACAGGTGCTGTCCAGCTTGCGTCAAGGACAGCCAATTACATTAATGACCTTTTAAAGAAGAACTCTGTGGTGACAGTGAATGCATCGTGTGCGAGGCCCTTTCTGCCAGCGTCTCTTATCCACGTTCCGTCCAGTACATTATTCCAAGACAGTAACGGATCAAAGGCAGGTTCTCTCTGAGGAAATATATTTACTATTTCACCAGGGGCGGATTAAGGCTCACTGGTGTCCTAAGCACTGACCTATCTTGGTGCCCCCAATCTTGGAGTCATAGCCTATGACACTGCACCTCGCCAGCAAAAAATAGAAGATAACCCTAGGGTGCACCATGATCAATGTGCACTACCCTTATCAAAAAATTTTTTTTTACAAATCTTCATTCTTTTTTTTCTTTTCACCCTTTCCCCAACTTTGTGGTACCCCCTTTGGCCGTGGTGCCCTAAGCATGTGCTCAGTCTGCTTCATGGTTAATCTGCCCCTGTATTTCACAGACAAAATCACTCATATGCGGTTTGACAAGGGGGCTGGTTGCAGACTCAGGCTGACTCAACCGTCTTCCACTGTTACAGCACATGGATGGGACATGAACAATGCATTTGGAGAAATAAGGGCATTGATGGTCATCTAATGGTGGATTGGAAAGACAAACCACAAAAAGCTGAATCTCTTCCTGTCTTTGTGCATTCACATGTGCACACACGCTTACAAAGCAGCCTTGCACCTGGCTGCAAGTTTCTCTAAGAAGTCTTCATGCTAACCTGGACTTCATATTGTGCACACAGTGCTGAAACTACACAGGGGGAAAGGCCTCAAACCAATGAAAGAAGGCAATGCTTGATTTCTAAATGTTTTCAACTCCAAAAATCAAAAGCCTAACCTAATTCCCCATCATTTAGGGTATATATAACTACTCAGAAGTAGTCCTGCTCTATTCTGCTATGGTCAGGCCTCACTTGGGAGTCCTGTGTCCAGTTTTGGGCACCACATTTTAGAAAGGATGTTGACAAGTTTGAGCGTATCCAGAGGGCAACCAGAATGGTGAGAGGGTTGGAATCCAAGTCTTACGAGGAAAGGCTGAAAGAGTTGGGTATGTTTAGCCTGGGAAAGAGAAGGCTTAGAGGGGACATGATTGCAGTCTTCAAGTATTTGAAGGGCTGTCATGTAGAAGATGGAGCAGATCTATTCTCTCTTGCTCCAGATTGCAAGACTAGGTCTAATGGGTGGAAATTACAAGGGAGTCGTTACCGGCTAAATATCAGGAGAAACTTCCTCACTGTAAGAGTGGTTGAGCAGTGGAACAATCTGCCTCGAGAGGTGGTGGATGCTCCTTTGTTGGATGTTTTCAAGTGGAGGCTGGACGACCACCTTTCAGGTATGTTGTAGGGCTATCTTTTGGCTCTGCTCCTGCAGAGTGCAGGGGGTTGGACTAGATGACGTGCAAGGTCCCTTCCAACTCTAACATTCTAAGATTCTATGATTGTCAGAGGACTGCAGTTTTGTTGTCACCCTTTTATTTTAACCTTGCTCAGTCTGTCACGTTTATTTATGATGTGCATGATTTTTATTTTATTACATTTCTTAATGTTTTGCATGCAGTTCATCTTTGCTCTGTGATCCACGTTAAGACTTGTACAGTCACACATTCCAGGAACATAAAAAGGAGAGGGCCATGGTTGACCCCACTCCCTTAGCACATGTGAGTAAGAGCAGTGGTCCCCTAAGCTGCCTGTTTAGCAGGTAAGCTGGCAGAGGGTTAAGAACATAAGAAGAGCTCTGCTGGATCAGACCAATAGTCCCATCTAGTCCAGCCTGTCTCACACAGTGGTCAACCAGTTCCTCTGGATGGCCAACAGGTCATAGAGACCGAGACCTTCCCCTGATGTTGCCTCCTACCACTGGGATTCAGAGGTTGACTGCCTCTGAATGTGGAGGTTTCCCTCAGTCACCATGGCTAGAAGCTACTAATAGACATCCTCCATGAATCTAATTCCCTTTTAAAGCTGTCTATTCCTGGAGCCATCACTACATCCTTTGGCAGCAAATTCCACATTTTAATCACTCTCTGTGTAAAGGAGTATTTCCTTTTGACCGTCCTGAATCATTGGATGGCCTCGAGTTCTAGTATTTTGGGGGAGGGAGAAAAAGTTCTCTTTGTCAACTCTCTCCACCCCATGCATAATTTTATCAACCTCTATCATGTCCCCTCCTAGTCATCTCCCACCTCCCCTATGAGGAAAGCCTGAAGTCTGGGGCTTTTCAGTTTAGAACAAAGTCCCAGAGACTCTCCTGCCTTTCCTCCTCATAGGGAAGGTGCTCTAACCCCCTAATCTTCTTGGTCGCCCCTCCTCTGTACTTTTTCCAGCTCCACAATGTCCTTTTGGAGATATGGTGACCAGAACTGTACACACTATTCCAAATGAGGCCTCATCACTGATCTGTAAAGATCTGTAATATCGCTGCTTTCATTTTCAACCCCTTTCCTAATAATCTCTATATAATTGCCTTTTTTCAACCTTTGCAGCACACTTTCATTGAGCTATCTACTACAGCCCCTGGTTACCTGGGTGCTACTCCTCAGAAGGAGTGTGTCTAATAGCATGGAAAAGCTGGTGGTGGTAGGAGAAAGAAAAAACCAGTTACTTTGGGAGTAGAGAGAAAGAAGACCCAGGACAGCCGAGTAGCTTTCTCACTCCCACGTGGGCAGAAAACGGGGGCTTGTGAGTCCCATTTCCCTGGAGGCCCCATTTGAATAGGCCTCTTTAAAGCATGGGAATGGGGAGTTGTGGGGATGAATCAGTCACGCAGAGGGTAAACTCGGTTTCAGATTTGAGTTCAGTTGCACCTTGGAGTTTTTGAAGGGAGCTATGATGTGGGCAAGGTTCAGCGATAAGGCACACCTGTCCTGGTTTGGGGCCATATTTCCAGACTCTGTAAACATCTGGATTGATCAGTGACTCTGATCCAGTAAGAGTCCTAACCTTTGCACATCCTGTACCAGTGGCAATTTTAAAGCTGAGAGTAGCTCGTTAATTATTGTACTATGTAAGCATCCTTAAGACATCCTCCCTAAAGTATCTGTTTTCCCCTGTTTCTGTACGTGCAAGCCCCAGCCTCACCTCACGGTGGGTGAGGGGGGCAGAGTGTGTATAAAATAAACTCTTGCTGCCTTGAAAGGCAGACAGATTTCTCTACCCTCAAGAGAGCTGTCTCATGTGATTCCTTCACTTTGACTTCCTAAAGCCTACACCTTGAACATCTTCTTGGTCTATAAATTGCTCCTGGACTTGAATTTAGATAATTGTTTTCAAACAATGTTTACGGAGAGGCATGTGCTTGTATTAAAATGTATAACGTATTAAAACGTGCTTGTATTAAAATGTGTGATGGGCAAAGGCCAAACGTGTGTCTCCAGGAGGTTCAGTGGTGCACAGCTCCTTCACCTGGTCCACTTCACGGTGCCCAGAAAAAATCCCACAGAAAAAAAACCACGGTCATAAATGCTCTCAGGGAAAACGCCCACGTGGAAAAATGCCCACATGGAAATAAGCCCATATACATAAAAGCCAACACAGAAAAAAAGCTCACACAGAAAGAACCCCAATGGAAAAATACCATGTAAAGCGCCATAGATACTTACATTGGCGGAATACCATTCATCTCCATTTATGAGAATGAACAAGTATTACCTACATTCACATGCAACAATTTGTGTTGTGATTTTATCAATTATAATCAAATAATAATTTTGATATGTTATTAGTAAATTACTTCATTACTGTACAAAAGTGGCCTGTTTGAAGAGGGCTTTAATGCTCTTGAGTGTAAACGCTTGGAAGGGGAAATGCAAGAAATAAAAGTGACCATTTTGGTGTCAATGAACTTTATTAAGAAGGAAAAGCAATAACAAATTTATTAAGAAGGAAAAACAATAACAACAGAAATTAAACATTAATTTTAACATTAAAATAAGTCAATTTCCTAGCTCAATTTCCATTTACTTGTATTTTAACAAATACTGTGTGGTACACCCAGTGGCTATGACAAAAGACTACCTAACCTTAATATTAAAAAAAAGAATTATTTAACAACAACATTTAATAACAATAATAATAACAATAATTTAACAACAAGAAGAAGTTAGATATAATTCTTCATTGCAAATTAGCCAATCTCCTTAAGTAATTAAGTTTTTTCTGCCTGCTCATATTGCTGGACAGAAGTGGCAACCATGTCAAGCAGTGCCTCCAATTTCCTCTTTCTCACCTCTAGGCGAACTGCCTGTGCCTTAGCTAGTGTCAGCCAGGTCCTGCTGCAGTCCATCAAACAGACTGGGATGACTGCAGTGGAATAGGGAATTAGGAGAACAAAAGGACAGGGTTGCCACTTCTGTTATTATTTGTTATTTTATGTTATTTTATGGTTTTGATTTTTAATAACAAAATAAGTAAATAATATTAATTATTTGAAGAATTTAAAGCCATAGATACTTCAAAAAGCCGTGTATACAAGACTATACATAATTTAATTTAATTTAACACCTTTCTGTCTTTACTTTAGAAATTACTTCATACCAACATTACAAAGGTTGACAAATAGGAAATTAATAAATTTAAAGTATTTAATTTTATTTAAAAATATTTCTATATTGAGTTTAA